TTGTAAAAAACAGATAATATTAAGGCTTGCAGTGGGACATAGTCCTGCAGAGGCCAGTCTTTATTATTTAGTGGCCAGTCAATAACAGATACAATTAAAGCAACGTTTTTGTGAAACCTAGAAATAATATTTTAGGTCTTTGTGTTGGTTACTTTTCTCTCATCTGCTGAAACAAAATACCTGACACCCAAAGTTAAAGAAGTAAAGGTTTATTTAGCTCACAGTTTGTAGAGGTTTCAATCCATATCAGTTGGCTCCAAGGCAGGGTGGTAGAAGGGCAACAGTTCATGGCAGCAGAAGACAGCGAAAGCAAAAAGTGAAATTTAGCAGTGTGTGTCTGCCCCTTTTACTTTATCCAGATTACTGGAATTAGGGTGGTGCCAAGCCAATCAGTGGACTGGTTTAGTTATCACACACCCTTAATCCCAGGATCACACACTCTAGATTCAGTCACCTTTGAAAAAGCTCTATGACCACATGAGTGTTTGGGGGGCCATCTAGACCCAAACTACAACAGTGTTTTTTAAATTAAGGAGTTTAATTGGTTTAACATTGCATTTCTAGCTCAATAGAAATCTTACTGTGTGACTTATTAAAATGATTTTTAATATTTAAATTTTTAAAATGCTCTCAGTTCTTGGATGTTGTTACCGACATATTTGGGGCCAAAAAGCTTGCAGGGTCAGTGGCCAGTACTGTCAGACCAACACTTGAGTTCCTGTCCAGCCCAATCTTGTCCTGAAAACAGTACTGTGCTAGACTTGCTTTTCTAGTGGACAGCATTCATTGAGTGTTATTTTTAAAGCAGAGTGAAAGAAATGCCAGCCTGAGCATATCTATGATGGCTGGAAAACAACTGCATTTACTGGTCACAGACTGCCCAGAGGCAGAAATGAAGAGCCTATTCTCTGGGGCTGACCCAGAGTCCTTTGTTACCATTGGTTGAGGCACATATAAATCCTGAGCCCAAGGCTCTTATTCACAGACTCTCCCAACAATTGTCCCCAGCCTAATGCCTAATTCGTAATGTGGCATTTTCTCTTCCCAAAGAGACTGTTAAATCTAGATCATTCACCTACCTCTTTCTATACCTCTTAAACCCTAAGACTGTTTCATACCAAAAGGATGCCAATGTGAAAATGGAGTCTTAGCTGAATGACTTAAAAGTAAACTTCCAGTGAAGCATTGGAAGTTTTTCATAAAGTCCAAGAAGGTAGGAATCACTAATCCCAGGAATCTGGAAGGGTGAGTCAGGAGGACTGCAAGTCTGGGCCTGGCTGGTCAATTCAGTAATTTAGTGAGAATTATCTCAAAATAAAGACAAAAATATAAATAAAAATTTAAAAAGGGAGGGATGGGGCTACAGGCCAATATAAAAGGCCTTGGGTTTAATCCCCAATACTAGAAAAAAAATTCTTAAAAAATTGGTCTAGGCCAGGTACATACTAATGTGTAATCCCAGCACTTGGGAGGATGAGGCAGGTTCAAGGCCAGCTTGAACCACAGAGTGGTAGCCTGTCTCAGAAACAAAACAAAATAAAAAACACTGGGTCAGGAAATGCAAATCAAAAGTACACTGAGATCTCCCATCACCACAGTCAGAATTGCCATCATTGAGAATACAAAAAACAATAAATGCTAGAGAGGAACCTTTCTCCACTGCTGGTGGGTCTGCAAATTAGTACAGCCACTATGGATATCAATATGGCAGTTCCTCAAAAAACTAAAAATAGAGCTACCACTAGATCCAGCTGTGCTATCTCTTGGCAAATACCCGAGGAGTCAAAGTCAGGATACTTGTTGTTTGCTTTAAATGTACCAATAAACTTAATGGGGAAAAAACAAAACAAAGACAAAGTCAGCACACTGTAGGGATATCTGAATATCCATGATTACTGTGACATCATGTGCTGTGCACATATCCATGTTATACTGTAGCCTATGCATGGCACCATGAATGGATAAAAATGATGTGGTATATACACACAGTGGAGTATTAGTCAGCTACAAGGAAGAACAAAATTCTTCATTTTTAAAAAATGGATGGATCTAGAGATCACGTTGAGAGAAATAAGCCACCCTAAAATTGATGGATATTGGATGTTTTCCCTAATAATGTGGAATCCAAAAAAAGATATGAAAGTCGAAGGGAGACTTACTAGACAGGAGGAAGGGAAGAAGGGGTAGAAAGGGGAGGTCAAATTCAGTGGTTAGGTTCAATGATCACCTTATGGGAAAACTTAATTTGGTTCTCTTTCAATTTAGTTTGCAACCAGAAACATGGAATTAAGTTTGTGAACTAAGGTATCACCGTATAACTATTGTTAATACGGGGGTGGTTATGAGCAAAACATTTTACGCACATTGAACTCCCCCAAAAATGTGAAATGGGGGAGGGGTAAAGGGGGAAATAGTGAAAATTATCAAAGTATCTTATGTGGATGTATGAATCTGCCAAAATGAAACAATCTGCATAACCTATAAAAACAGAAATAAAAAAAATTTAAAATGTACTAAAACCCAAAAGGGAACATTACAAAAGTAGGGGTCAGATCCCTGCTCAGCTCTATGTATGGCATATTAATTATTTAGAGAATGTCTGTCTAAAAGCAGTGATAAGCCCTGAATTTATAGAACCTATCTCATTCCCCTTTAAGGGTGAGGACATTTAGGAGAGTTTCAGGAACTTTCTAGCAGAGCCTCTGCTAAACTGAGACTGTCACAAATTGGAACAATTATCTCACAGAGAGCTGACTAAGAGATAAAAGACTTCTCTGGAGCAACCTTGCAAACCTAGGACTGAGATAATGATCAACCAGTCTCCTTCCTTTGTTAGTGGGTCAGGCTGAACTTCAAAGTTGTGCCCCTTTCATCTCATATTGAAGTTCTCTCTCTATTCTTTTTGTGTGTGGGTGGTGGAGGGTACTACACAGGATTAAACCCAGGGCTTTTGCATTGAACTACAACCCCAATCCCAGTCTTTTTTTTTTTTGAGAGGTTCTTGCTATATTGCCCAGATGGGACTTGAACTTGCCTCAGCCCCACAGAATGCTCAGATTACAGGCCTGATCACCATACCCTGCTGCTACTTTTAAAATCTTCCCAATAAATCATCCTATGCTTCATCACTGATGTGTCCTGAAATGTTTTCCTGGAACTATGTCAAGAACCTGCCTGGAACTAGGCATGGTGGCAAACACCAAGAATCCCAGAACTCTAGGAAGTTAAGGCGGGGAGACCAACCCTGGGCAATTTAGCCACCTAGGAAGAACCCTGCCTCAAAATTAAAAAAGAACTAGGGATGTAGGTCAGCGTGAAGGTCCTGGGTTAAATCCCCAGCCCCTCTCTCTCTCTCTCTCTCTCTTACACACACACACACACACACACATATACACACATCTCCTCAGACTCTTATGACGCATCTTAATTGGTTTGATTTTCTATTCTACAATGAGGCAACAAATTATTCTATAAACTAGAGCTGGAAAGTGGTTTTAGCGTTACAAGGGCTCTGACAAAACAGAAAGGAGACAGATGTGGTGCCCCATGCTTATAATCTCAACACTTTCGAGGCTGAGCAGGAGGACTGAGTTTTCCAGGCCAGGCTGAACTACGTGATAGATAAAACTGTCTCAACAAAACAAAACAAGACGAAACTAAGCAGTTTGGGAAACTTGGCTGTTATTCTAATCCTGATTTTTAGGTCAGATAAGCACTTCATTTTCAGCTTGGTGACATGGAACTTTACCTCAAGTGAATCCACTGTGACTTTTGTTTTGGTACCGGGGATCAAACTCGGGATCTTGTGCTTGCAGCGACACCACTGAGCGAAATACCTGGCCCTCCACTGTGACTTTTTGCCTAATCTGTTGGGCCCTAAGGCCTGACCAAATAATGGCTTCCTGTGATTCGTATTTAATAACACTCAAAGGTAATAAAAAGATTCTTCACCCCCTTCCAGGTTAAATTCACATCTTACGAGTAACACAAGGTCCTTTCTACTTTCATTTCCTGTAAAGTCTTCTAATTCCAGCTTTCAGGGAGGCAAAGATGAGAAGAATCAGTCAGTGGGTGCTTAGACTCAGAGGCTGGGTGAGGATCAGAGCCAGGGGCAGGAGGGAAGGTTCCACGCTTGGGACTGTGAGCCAAAGGGCCAGACCTCTGCCCAGAGGTGGCATTACTGGTCGGCTGCAGCAGGGAACGATGGCTGCTAGAAAACGTGATTTCAAATCAGAAAGCCCGTGCTCTAACTTTATTGGGTTGAGGTGATCCCTTGATTTCATTTTAAAGCAGAGAAGCCTGGGACTCTGTGACCTGCCCGCCTGGAGCGCGGGGCACCTGGGCGGTGAGCTCGCAGACTCTGCGGCCTGCAGTTGTTTTGGCTCCTTCGACCAGAGGTTCCATACAACTGCTTCCACCTGTGCTTTACCCTTCACTTTTGTGAAGCCACATGCAAGGCAAAGCAAGCCAGCCCGTCATCCAAGGCGTCTCAGGGCTGCAGGCCGGAGCGGAAGTGACGCGTCCCGGGCGGAAGTGCGGCTGTGCCCCGCCCGGCGGAGGGAACCGGAGGAATCGCTTGGCCGCGCCTCGGTCTGCGGCTCAGGGCTAGCGGGGCCCCCAACCCCCAACCTGAAACACACACCCGGCGTTCTGGCGCG